AACTGAAAGTACCCGCTCGTGTTCGCCTGTACCGCTCCTGCCTTGTTTTTACTTGGAACACCACCTGTTGGTATTGTACATTTATTCATCTATTCCTATGTATATAAAGAAGTTAATGAATCCTGCTGAATCAGTTATCTGTGTGTGCTTTCTGGATTTGATTTTTCCGCAACAAACTCTGACAAATACCCTCTCCTGAAATAGTTTATTTTATTACAACTGCAAGTTAAAGCTGGAAATTTGTGATTGTCTTTGAAGTGTAGCCTTCTCTGAGAAGCCTGAGCCATTTGCTACCAAAAATTGATAAGTAGTTACAGAGGCCCAATACAGGTAGTCCTTGACTTACAGCAGCTCACTTAGTGGCCATCCAAAGTTACAATGGCACTGAAAAATGTGACTTATGACCATTTTTCATACTTCCAACCATTGTAGCTTCCCCATGGTCACGTAATCAAAATTCAAACACTTGGCAACTGACTCATATTTATGACCATGTTTGCCCTGTCCCAGGGTCATGTGATCCCCTTTTGTGACCTTCTGACAAGCAAAGTCAATGGGGAAGCCAGATTCACTTAACAACCATGTTACTAACTTAACAACAGCAGTGATCCACTTAACCGAGGTGGCAAGAAAAATCGTAAAATGGAGCATACCTCACTTAACAAATCTCTCACTTAGCAACATAAATTCTGGGCTCAGTTGTGGTCATAGGTCAAGGACTATCTATACACATGGCAAGTACAAATGGCCTTTTGCCTTACGCAGCACATAGCGGAAAGTCCCAACTGGTACTTGTGACATATAAACATGGTATGAGAGGTATGTATACAATTATTTCATGCTGTTGCAAGCAATTACCATAAAATGATAGCTCAGTAAACTGGAAGAGATACATAAAGAATGCTAAAATGCACCTGGTTTTTCTCATTATTTGAGAAAAGTTGGTTTTTTTCTTATGTGCAGCAATTCTATTTTTAACTTTGTCTTGAAAGAGTTGGGTCTGGAATGGCCTAATTTGTCTGGCTGTTTGTTTGCAAAGTAGCAAAGACTAGATTATTACTTGGCTGCATTTATATTCTGCTTTGCAGAGGTGGTTTCCTACCAGTTTGGACCGGTTCAACCGAACTGGTAGTGGTTTGGCAACCTGGGTCACTGGAACCAGCAGCAACCCAGGCCTGCCACACCCCCGAACCAGTTCTCCCATCTTGATTTTTGGTTCTGCGCATGCACAGAACAATTGTAATTGCACAAATGTAATTTTTTCCCTTTTGTTAACATTTTGCGCATGTGCAGACCTATTTTTGTGCAAATGCGCATGCGCACAGAATGCACATCTGGCGTGTGCATGAGCAAAGCTCGCACGTACGGGCAGAATTTTTGCACGCACCAAACCGCCCCACCCCTCCGTTGCTTTGTCTTATGGTGCCAAAGTCACATTGTGAAAGTCATGAGTCTCAAGCCAGGGCTGTGTTCAACAAAACATTCCTAGTGAAAGAAATTTTGGGAAGGAGGGAAGGAAGGAAGGAAGGAAGGAAGGAAGGAAGGATGGAAGGAAGGAAGGAAGGGAGGAAGGAAGGACATGTAAAATCAATTACTACTGTCTGCATATGTTCTAAACTTATAGACCACGTGAGTGACATGTTGAAGAAATCATTAACCTACCACTGCTCCTGCAAAGTTTTCTGCAGAACCATCAAGTCATTATCTTCACCTTCCCAGCCTCCAGATTCTATGCATATGTAATGCCAGAATGGAAATATTTCTTTACCCTAATCCTGGTGCTCAAAATCACAAATCACTGACAAATATAGACACAACAGATTTTGGACATCCCTTCTCTGCCGCATGATGTGCTCATTCTTGAAACTTAGCAAGATTTATTAGAGAAACAGGAAGCAGTCTGAGCAAATGCCCAGCCCCTTGCACTGTGCCAGTTCTTTATGCAGATCTCACTGAGTTACTGGAAGTGGTGGGTTTCACATTTTGTTACCACTGGTTGTCTGCGCGCTCCCGCTTTGCGAGAGCACACACCCCTTCCATGCATGCGCTTCGATCTCGCCCATGCCTTCCACGCATGCACCCGGCCTCAAAAACATGCCTAAATAGGATGGCATAAAGCCAGGGCGGGTGGGCAGGCTGACCCATGATTTCACTACCAGTTTGGGTGAACCGGTCTGAACTGGCTGAATACCATCTCTGGTTACTGGGATCCAAAGTCTACAGCAGAGAAGAAGAAAATACGTCCAGAGGAAAGGCCATGGATTGCTGATCTCGCCAAGCGCTAATGGTTCTTTTTCTATCCCCTTCTCAGCAAACAATTTGTTCAGTGTTTTCTTTACTAAATTCTGTCAGGGGTTAATGGCTGATCAGCCTATGTAGGTGGCAGGATGGAACAGGTGTTGAGGTTAAGCACATTATTAGATGTCAGAATAACAGATCCACTGCCTAAAATAAACACTTCTGCTGAATAATGAAAACAGACGGGGCCCCAGCGTGGTGCTATCCATCACAATCCCTCTCCATCTTTACCTGGCAACTCATTTCCCTAACAGGCTCACTTTCGGACCATAAACATCTGTCTGCTAGGTGCCAACCTTCACAGCTGGAATTTTACTACGACTGTGGAGACTTGAGGAAACAAGCCTGCATTTGAGAGGTATAAACTCAAGGAAGGAGGCGACAACGGCTGGGCAGAAATTCTGGGTGAGGCTGAAACTTCATATGATTTATTAACAATCTGCAATGGGAAAAAAATGATACGCTTCCCTATCATTATTCACCTTCCCAAAGCAACCTTCAAGGAAAAGCACAGATGTGCCTAGCTGCGGGAGGAAGGCAGGAGGTTTTTCATTTCCAACCGCCAGCAAATTAGAAGAAAATTATATCTCAGCAATCAAAATTCCTAGAACAAAATTTTCTTACTCATAATAGAGGAAGGAAGGAAGGAAGGAAGGAAGGAAGGAAGGAAGGAAGGAAGGAAGGAAGGAAGGAAAGTCAGGAGATGCACATTTCCTAAATCCATAACTTAATGAGATGGTACAAACCTCTGGGAAGAGGAACAAGTCAAAGAAACAATGATTGTATGGGCAAAACTTTTTGGTTATACTATAGCCGTAATGGCGAACCCATGGCACACAGATGTAGTGGCACATGAGCTAGATGTAGTACTCTCAAAGAGGATAACTATTTTAGATTGAAGCAACAAATCACAATGGACTTGATGAAATGGGAAAATCTACAATTATCAATGATTGGGAGAATCTCAACAATTAAAATGAACATTTTACCTAGAATCTTATACTTGTTACAGACAATCCCAATTAGCTTGGGGAAAGATTATTTTGAAGATCTTAATAAAATGCTGTTGAAATTTATATGGCAGGGGGAAAAAGCAAGAATAAAATTTAAAGTGGAGGGTTGGGCTTACCTGACTGGGAGCTATATTACCAGGCAACAAGCCTGACGTGGGTTAAGGACTGGATAATGTTAAGAAATGTTAGGCTTTTGAACTTAGAGAGTCACGACTTGCTGCTGGGATGGCATGCGTTCTTATGGTATAAGGGAAGCAAAGGACATGGTTACTTTAGAAGACATTATATAAGAGAGGCTCTGTTATTAAACTGGGAGAAGATTAAGAAATTACATTACTTAAAAATTCCAGTCTGGATATCAACCATTGAAGCTTTTTCATATTAAATAATATACAAAAAGGAACAAACAGTTAGACA